TTAACTCTCCCTCCCATTTTTATTGTGCACAAAAAATAATAAATAAAACTGTTATAAAAACTTTTCTCTTTATCTTCTTTTTTATCTGATGAACACACACTTTACTCTTCTTTCCTTTCTAACATTTTCTACAAAACTTAAAAATCAAAGAGAGGAAGTTGGAGATTGAAGTGACGAAGCTAAAGAACTGATGAGCTGAAGAAAAGAGCTGAAATTATCTTCTCCCGAACCCGATTTACTTGAAGAGATGAAGAGTAGAAGCTAAAGACCTGGGATCGAAGAACTTAAAAGTTGAAGCTGAAGAATTGATTTCATCAAGCATAACTACTTATTTAGTACAATTGAGATTCCTTTAATTCACTGCTAATTATCTATTACTAAAAACAATCAATTTATTGAAATTTTGTTTTTTGCTTAGAAGTAAATGATTACTTTAGGGTTCTTTCAATTGAAATTCTTGTTTCCTCCCACTCATTTTCCCTTTCCAGATAAACTTTGCTTGTTATAGTTTGTGGATTGTGAAATTGTTAGGGAAATATAAGAAATTTCATTTGTAGATGTGGTACTAATGTTTATTTATTCTTTTACTTAAACGATATTAACATGTTTATAGTTGCATAAATTCTAACATAACACAAACGTGGCATTATATGTATATTGTTTTGCAAATGGATGCATTTTTAATTATTATTTCGCAATGTCATGCAGGCGATAATATGTCTATAGTGTGGTGACAAAATATTCTCTAACACATTTGTTTTTGTGTAAAATGTCTTGAAGTTGTTGTACATCGTAAGTTAGATTGTTACGAAACATCATTTGTCTAGTTAAGACATTTTACCATATCTTATTAACTTTAGTCTTTCATTTTTGATTTTGATTTCTGCCTTGCTATTTTGCATGAACGTGCAAAGAATTGCCTTAATAGTAGGAACATGTATATTAGTTTATGATGGAACTAAGATGATTTCCTGCGATATTATTAGAACATATTCTTTGTATTTATCAACTGTAATTATGAGATGAAATTTTTAAAACTATTCTCTAACTCTTGTTTTGGTTTGGACTTGTGATATGCGTGTAATTCTACTCTTTCGATAAAGATTATTTTACAGATGCATTTTGTCTATAGCAATTTAAGTGAACAAGCTAACTCAATTATCCGTAAAAGAAGGTTTTGTTGACTTTTTTAAATAATTCTTATAATCTAAAACAATCTTGTATTTCTTTTTAGTCAAATTAATCTGAAAGGACACTCTTATCAACCAAAAGGAAACAAAGAGATTTCAGAGGATGCAATAATGTAGTTTATCAATCTGTATTTTCTTTCTTTATAAATTTTCTATAACCCCAGCTTGACACTACTTCCCATCTTGACATGTATACACCTCTTGCTTATCAAAAACCCTTTGTAGAGATTCTTTTTAAATATCTGTGATGGCTGGGAAAATGATAAAATTGCATGATGGTCTCCGGCTCCAAGTCTTAGTGTAAAGCTTACTATAAAAATCAATTATTCCCCACTTAATTACAACCGGGTCTTCCACTCACTACTACAAATATGATAAATAGCTACGAAATGATTATCTACAACATCAAATTCATCACTAATTATTCACTTTTAATGATAAAATTAACATTTCGTGCTTAAATATATGTGACACATACTTTTAGTGACGAAACATAAGTATTCGTAGCAAAGTTTTGTCCATTAAGGTTTCCCACCAAATAATTATTTGGCGCCATTTATTAAGTAGTGTTAGTCACGAATTTAAAGTTATCAGTGACACATTATTTCTTCACTAATAGTGTACGCAATTCATGACAAACTACGACAGCAAATTCGTCACTAATATTCGCTTTTAGTAACAAAATTTATTTTTCGTGTTAAAATATATAGGCACATACTTTTAGTGACGTAACATTAAAATTCATAGCAAAGCTATGTCCGCTAAATTTTCCCACCATAAAATTAATTTTTCATTTGTTAAGTATTGTTCTTCACGAATTTAAAGTTATCAGTGACACATTATTTCGTCACTAATAATCTATCTAATTCATGACAAATTATTCTTTTTCTTACAATATATTAAATTTTGGACAAATAAGTATCTCATATAAAAAAATATGTTGTTACAATATCGACAAATTAGAGTTTGTAGTTAAATATTATTAACTTTAGCTATGAAAATTTCTACTGAATTATGACATTTATTTTGTCACTAATAATATAAAAAGTTGGTGACAAATATTAAAATTTCTCTAATGAGTCTATGATTTAGTGACGATATAAAATTGTCACAAAATATGTAAGGTGTTAAATATCAATAACTTGAAATTTAAAGTGAATAATTAAACAATTTGCGACGAAAAAAATTCATAGTTGAATACAAATATTTTTCTACAATTTGTCATAAAAGCAAATGACGACTTACAAAAAGAATAATACAATTGCTTCATAAAGAGTAGACAAATTCCATTCGTCAATTGGTAGGTGAAAATATTAAAACCAATGAATTCGGTCGATTTTTTAAAAACGGAAAAGTTCAATACATGAGTTTTCTTAAATTATGGAATTATAAAATGCATCATTTGAAAAATACAATCCGGGTTATAGGTATTGTAAGTAGGTACAATTGTAACAAGTTTACTATATATGTTAGATTAGCACTTATGTTTTTTATTTCATACACTTTCTTTGATAAGCACGATAAAAAAATAGATATTGTTATGTCTTTATGCTAAGTTTTGTGCATGTCTATTGATTTGTGATTGGTAAACTACATCGATTAAGTCGATTGATTTGCTTTTGTCTATAAATATATACATATTTTATAGTAATTCCATATAAGTACGTACAAGTAACTACACAGAGATAACATCGACTTACAAACTTAGACTTTGCAAGGATGCAAAACATTCCATGAATTTCTATTAACTTTTTTTCATCAATGTGAAAATTGAAATAAACTAAAAAATAAAAGCAGAAAAAAAATGAACTAACAAGGATTGTAAATATATTATGATGAAGTACTATAGTTACTAGTATCGATTTTCAACTTGAACCAATTATTCATACTTTTAACAAAATCAAAAGTTTAATTTTGAATAAATTTATTATTTTAATGAATAATTTTTAAAAATAATTAAACGGATAATGGTCTAAAATACCCTCAAAGTATTGGAAATGATATAAAATTACCCTCCATCCACCTATTAGCTCCAAAATACCCTTCCCACACACCTATTGGGTCTAAAATACCCTTGTCATCCACCTTTTGGTTCAAAATTGACCACTTATTTAACGGTTTTATTTTTAAACTATTTAAATATTTTTTTTAAATACATGGCGCTCAACTATTTGTTATATTTAATTTATTACTATAATTTATAAATCAATCCACTACCCATCCATTACGAATTAAATCCTCCAAATTAATAAATCACTCACATTATTAATGCAACAACAGAAAAGCTACTGCCAATTGAGTGTTCTAAAAAATTTGAGACAAAAAAATCTATAGAAGTAAATTATCATACATTCAAGTGTCTAAATAAAAATTACCGATAAACTTAAAAGTTTGACTATGTTCATCTTAATTATTCTTACGTCTCAATTATGTGATGTTACTTCATAGGTAACTTTTTTTTCAAAATAATATATTAAAAGTTGTAAAACAAATCATAAATATTTTAAAATTATATTTTTAAAAAGTGCATGAATTAATTCGGGATGAATTATTTCTTTACCTTTAATCATCAATTTCTAATTCAATCTTGAAAGAGAATCAAATTGAAAGTGTACTCCTAAATAAGTAGCTCAACATAAATTTAAATGGGGCTTCAATTCGGACTCGAATAATTTTAGATGTCATTTTCATTAATCTATAATTTCATCGTGTTTTAGTAGTGTTTATGATGATTTTGATGTTATAGTTGGATTTTTAATTAAGTGGAGTTTAGTTAGTAATGGGTGGGTGGTGGTTGATTTATAAATAATACAAATAAATTAAATTATAACCAATAGTTGAACATCAAGTATTTTAAAAATATTTAAATAGTTTAGATTTAAAATCATTAAATAAGTGGTCAATTTTGAACTCAAAGGTGGATGACAAGGGTATTTTGGAGCCAAAAGGTGGATGAAAAGGGCATTTTGGAGCAAATAGGTGGATGGAGGGTAATTTTGTACCATTTCCAATACTTCAAGGGTATTTTAGACCCTTTTCTGATAATTAAATTATATAAAAAAAATGAAAAAATAGTACTGAATATATTTAAAGATATTAAAAAAATACACAGTTTAATTAAAATATAATCCACATTTGAAGGCATTGCGGGTTGTAAATTTCATGCACTTGTGTATGAGTATAAATAATCATATAATATATTATTTCTACAAAGGTTAAATTTTAAACAAGTGAATAAAGTATAAAATAAAACAAACATAAACAACAAGAGAGAGTTGGCGTGATGGTAACCACTCTTCACTTCGAACCTTAAGGTTGTGAGTTTGATTCTCCAAGGCAACATAATGTGCGATCTACTGGTTAGGTTGAAAAAAATTGACATAGGAGATAATAATATACATTTATATCAATAAAATTATTTTTATATTGATAAATTTTATCATATATACTTTTAAGAACAAAATAATTTTTTTATATAAAATAGTCATTAGTGACGAAATCAGATTTTGTTCAACTACGAAATACATATAACTTTAGAGACAATTTATGTCGTCATGAATTCAAGTAAAATAGTTAGTGGCGTTATAACTTTGTCGTTAGTTATAACCTCTTTAATGACAAAGCATATTATTAACTACAAAAATATATTTTTTTCGCCAAAAATGTTTTAATATTTTTGTACGATTTTTTATTTTGTAGTTAATATACTACTTTTAATGACGAACCACTAATTCATATTTTTATACTTTCACATTTAGTGACGACTGAGTGACAAATTATTTTTCTTCAAACAAGATTTCTAGTGACGAAACATAATTTATTAATGACAAATTATTTTTCCCAGTTCATCAAATTTGTTCTAGTGACTTGTTCATCTTGAATTACTAGTTGGTCTATATTTACTATTTCATTTATGAGGATTTGCCGCTTCACGAAAGAAGTTCGTATTCTTATACTCTCCTTAACCCTAAGGCTTCGGGTCTTTTTCTCCATAAAATTTCCTCAATTTTGATGTATTCTCCATGTTCTATAAGAAGAGACTTTAGTAGGGATTCCGCTTTTATCAGAATTTTATCCTCCAGTACAACATCCAAATTATCTAGTTGACTTAAAACCTTCTATAAAATCAAATTATTCCTCCATAGATGGAGTTCTTCTCTTACAATTTCACTGCTCGGAAGGAAACATTATCACATTAAAATCTTCACAAAAATCCCATGACCCTTTCAATAGTCTGTAAAAACCCATGTTTCCTCCGACTCATTATCCCATTCAAGATTGAATTTTTTATATGGGAGATGTTTTGAGTGAATTAGTACACTGGTATGTATACTGAGATGTTAAAACCTGAGTTCCAGAATAAGTGTTACAAACTCGACTAGAAGCATAATTATGAGACTTACCTGTTTGCAGTAGAGTATCTTTGTGTTGTTCAAGTTGAGTTTCCACTTTTTCTGTGCTTTGTTTGGTGCCACTACCATCTTGATTTATATTTCTATATTAGATTGTCTTTGGAAATTTCTCATCTTGTCCCTGTTTTTTTATCGTGAGGTGGACTAAAATTTTGAAATAGCTACAACAATCTGGTATAGAATTGCATATTTGTAATATGCTATACATCTGTAAATCTGCAAATGCACAATCTGCAAATCTGCAGATCTATGTGGTGACTTAAAACTGTGTTGTGGTATATGTAGTGGAAAAGATGTCATATGATTTAGGATCTATTGATTTCTAGAGTTTAATTTGGGTAAAGCTGACGTCAAAGATTTGTTTTTTCCTACCAGTGACATTCTCATAATGCTAACATGTAAAGAGTATTGACTCACGTTTGAATAAATGATTTTCCAAACATCCTCTTGACATACCTTCATAAAAAAGAAGTCTGTTATCAAGCTCTGCGCAATATCCAATTAAACTCACTAGATTTTCATTGTTTAGCAGACCTTAGTAGTTAGAATCTACCTGTATGTTTTGTTATGCCGAAAACAATGTTGAATCACAAAAGTACAAGTGCTGCAAAAGATGTTAACAGCCAAGATTTTGTCCAGTCTTGCCAAATACCACATCTAAATGGAGCAGAAGTTTAGTGATCATAAAAGGTGGAGTAAGGAATTCAATTTTAAATTAGGTTCAAAGTTGACTATACCTTGGCATAGGTCAAAAGCGAACAGTACCTTGGCATAAACTAGATGCTACTTGAAGCTTATGCATTTTATTTGCTTTAATATGTGGCTTTACTAATATGTATTCTATATTCGATATTCTTTGTATTACTGAGCTCTCTTTGGTGGTGTGTCATCCCTTTGTTTATTTAGTAATGGGTGATTCTTACATTGTTCTTAGATGATATATTTTTACTTTATCTTTCATGATGCATAACAAATGTCATTGGTTTTTGTTCTTTAACCAGGATCAACAAGTGTTCCTGTGATATAATGTCTATTTTGTTAATTGTTTGATTTCATAATTTGGTGTTCTTTCTTTATGGCACAAATTTGCTTACTAGAGGAATAAACACTCAAGCAGTTAACGTTGTTATCACTTTTGATTTTCCGAACTCATAATAGTATTTGCATAGGGTATCCACAACAGATATTTGATCTTTCTTATAGTCTTACATATATATTTTTATTGGCTATTTTTTCATAGGTAATTGATTTTGCGGGTTGGACGATAAGGGAGATTTGGGCATCATGGTTTATCTGTTAGACTCATTGCTTTTGAGGATCGCTTCACTTTGTATGCATTAATTATGTTCATTTCTTTTATACTAGATCATTAAGTTTCTATGTGCAGATTTCTGCCGAGACTAATTGTATCTATCTGACTGTGAGGTACATAATTGAACTCTAACTAGGAACAGAGATCAAGAAAATCCCTCCACAAATAGATCAAGCTATATATTGTAAATGAGTTGTTAGTTCTGATCGATGGTGCTGCCACTGGGTAAGTATTCTTAATAGATATGCTTTGTGTATGCACTTTATTAAGTTGTTGAATATTTCTTCCTAGAGGATTTTTTCGATATACAGTCCAGACAATTTATCTCTTTTGTCTGTTTTAGTTGCCCATCAATCATGGGTAGTGTAATTTGCAAGCATTGGAGGTCGACTGATATTTGGAGTAGTACTTTCTTATTCCTGTGCTTTTTAGAAAATTTACAGTCTTCTCTATTAGCTCTTCTTGTTTTTCTGAATAAATTTTGTTTGCACATTTGCATAGGGAACATGCTTATTTCACCAGATGAACATATTCTTGATTAATACCTTTACCAGTTAAAGTTTTTCATCTCTAGAACAATCTACTAACGAAATATAGGTTGGAGAATAGATATAAAGTTATATATGACAGTGTCGGTTCTATTTTCTTGTAAATTTCTAACAAGACTAAAAAAATTAAAACAACAAATTCTATGCAAAACACAACACAAAATAAATGAATAAGAAAGATTTAAGGAGGAAGAACTGTGTTTTGTTATTCGACATAGTTTTATTGCTTGGAAACACAAGATTAGGGAGGTAGAACTCTGATGGCGAAGTATTGAATATGAGTGGTATGTATCTGAATAAGAGAGGTGCATAGGTTCATATTATCAAATATTTTATAAAGGAATCTGAGTGATCTGGTAGTCCTGGAAGGTCCAAATTATAGGTTGAGTCATGGCTGTTAACTGCAGTAGATAAGAAAACTAACACACTCCATATGCCAGCTACTACTTTACAGTGAAAAATAGATGCCTAACACTCTTCAACATTGTATAATTGCAAATATTACATTCATTAGTGTATGTTTTTCCTAATGTAATATACAATCAACTTTAGGCTTAAATTCTAGTTCAACTTGCTTGCTTCAGATAGTTTTAATTGTTTTCTTCATTTTTATGACTTGGAAGCCTACATAACACTTGAAGTTCTATAAGTAATATTTTTCCCTTTATGATCCATGATTGTAGTTTATCTTACTTCAGATAAGTGATAACTTAGAATAAATAAACACTACGAAACATTAAGATTATTGACATGATCAACTATCTATATAGAATCATTGTAATGTTTGCTTGAATGTTTAAACATTCTTGTAAATGTTTCCTTATTCTTGATTATTTCATTAAATTTTTTCTATCCTAATAATTCATTTTCTCTATTAATTATTACTATCAAATTAATTTTGCTTATTTTTTCCATGGAAGTATAATTAACATTAAAAACATTTGTGGAGAATTCAAAGTTTACTTTGGTATAGCACAAGTGGCATGAGTAGGTAATAAACTATTATCATCTCATAAAACTTGATTTTTCTAACTTACTCATTAATTTAATAATTTTTATTGAAATATCAAATATTGATATCTTCTAATAGGAATTCAAATATCTCATCCAAGGATTGGATGGATTTAGCAACGTCTAGAAAACCATATATTGATGGTGTTGAATCATTCACAGATTTTGCTTACTTTTATGGAGATCCTCACAGAGAGGAAATTCAGTGTCCATGTGCAAAATGTTGTGCAATGCATTGGACTCGAAGGAATGTAGTGTATGATCATCTAATATTCTATGGATTTTTTTAAAGGTTATACTAGATAAATCAATCACGGGGAATGTGATATCAAGTTGAATGTTGAACATGATATGAATTGCTCGTGTGATGATATTGATAGGATGTTGAATGATTAATTTAGAGATGTTGCACAGGCTAAAGGAGCTTATGATGGTCCAAATAAAGATGCCAAAGAATACTATACCTTAGTTGAACAGTCAAGCCAAGAATTATATTCAGGTTTTACAGGATTCTCTAAATTATCATTCACACTTCCTTTATATTTGTTTAAGTGTCTACACAGATGGAGAAATGAATCATTCACTTCTATTTTAGATCTATTAAAAGAGGCGATGCTTGAGCTGAATATTCATACGTCTTACCATAAAACCAAGTCTATGGTTAAGAATATCGGCCTTGATTATGAGAAAATTAATACATGTACAAATGATTGCATGTTGTTTAGTAATGATCATAAGGATGATCAATTTTGTCATACTTGCGGAGCTTCACGATATAATAAAAATTTTGAAGTCGATGGTGAGGTTGAGTATTCTAAAAATCAGACCGAGTTTCAGCAATGACTTTGAGTCATTTTCCATTAACTCCTATACTCAAAAGGTTATTTATGTGCTCAAAGACGGAAGATTCTTTGAGGTGGCATGACAAGGAGCGTTAAAATGATGGAAAGTTAAGGCATCCCGCTGATGGTCAAGTATGGAATGAATTTGATAGGTTGCGTCGAGATTATGCTCTAGATTCTCTAAATGTGAGACTTGGATTAGCGAGTTATGCGTTCAATCCATTTCTAACCATGTGTATATCACATAGCACATGGCATATTATGTTGATAATGTAAAATCTTCCGCCTTGGATGTGCATGATTATCTGAATAATCTATACTTTATTTTCTTATACTTGATCACAATCATCTTCAAAATGACATTAATATTACTTGCAGCCATTGATAGATGAGTTAAAATTGTTGTGGGATTCGAGAGTGGAAACATATGATGCTTCAAGAAGTCAAACATTTCAAATTCAAGAAGCTCTTATGTGGACAATCAATGACTTTCCTGCATATGCTATGTTGTTTGGATGGAGTACAAAAGGAAAGTTTGCTTGCCCTTTTAGTAACTATAACACTGATTATCGCTCTTATATTTGGAAAATGTTTTATATGGATCGTGTTTTTCTACCGAGATCATCCATGGAGATCTAAATAAGGATCTCCCAATGAGAAAAGTGAATCCAAGCCTCCTCCACCATTATTAAAGGGAACTGATGTTCTTACTTGTTTACAAGAATTTGAAAATATGTTTGTAAAGAAGAGAAAGAAAAATGATGGTCATGGAAAAAGGTCAATTTTTTTGAATTACCTTATTGGCAGCACAACTTGTTACGCCAAAACCTTGATGTAATGCACATAGAAAATAATATAGTTGATAGCCATTCTTGGAACTCTTTTGGATATTCCTGTTAAAACAAAGGATCATGCAAAAGCTAATATAATTTGAAAGAGATGGGAATTAGAGAGAATATTCATCCAAAAGATACTGGAGATAATAAGACAACAAAGTTTGCAAAAGCTTGCTTCACTATGAAATATGGAGAGAAATCATTTATTTGAGGAGTTTTAAAGACAGTCAATCTACATGATGGCAGTGCCTCACATATATGTAGGTGTGTGCAACTGGATGAAAGGAAATTGTCTGGTTATAAGACTCACGATTCTCGTTTAATGCTACATAACTTGCTTCCAGCACTCATTAAAAGCATCCTTCCAGATCATGTTTCTATTGTTTTGATTCGTCATGTTCCTTTTTCAAGCATTTGTGTCAAAAAGTTATCACATCGGAGGAATTTTATTCCTTAGAAATAGATATCGGAGAAACAATTAACCAGTTGGAGCAAATTTTTCCTCTATCATTTTTTGATATAATGATTCATTTATGTATTCATTTAGCGAATGAATTGAGTTTAGGCGGTTTCAAAACCCATGGATGTATTACACTGAAAGAAATTGGTACATTTAAATAATATATCTGCAACAGACGTTATCTAGAAGGTTGCATAGCAGAGGAACGTGAGAAAATAGACTATATGAATTTATTTTCTAGATATCTGAATAAGGATGTACAAACAAGATTTAATAGAAGAGCTCGAAATAACGAATAATGTGATGCAAGTGATGCAAAAAGCTATGAGTTTGTTTCCAAAAAAATGATGTCCAATAGGATCATAGAAATTGATCCATTTTTTAGATAACCAGTCACTAAGTCAGTCCCATGCATAATTATTGGGAAACTTTGATGAATTTCAAGAATATATTAGGTACTTTATTTTAATATAGTATTTTCTTTAGTATAATGAAGTGTTAACATGTTTTATTTATCATTTAAATAAAAAAGTACTTGTTGTGTAGAGAGCATAAGTAGAGGTTAATGATCATCTGCAAAAATCTAAATAAAGAAAAATAGGGATCATTGTCAAAACGTCCCTCAATGGTTTGAAACTCGTGCTTTTTAAGAGGATGTGCCTGATTTGATAAAACAATTTTCTAGGGGACTAAATTTATTTGTTGAAAGATATGTTGGTTATCTCATTAATTTGTATATATTCCATATTAGACAGCATGATGGAAGGTGTAAAACACAAAATAGTGGTGTTAAACTTGTTACCTCAACTACGAGCTTTGCAGGCTATTAGAACCCGATTGCTGCAAATTTGACTTATTATGGTAGAATAGTTGATATAGTTGAGTTACACTATTATTATTATTTTAAGATTGTTCTGTTTAACTGCGATTGGTATAAGGTTGAAAAAGATAATTATGGCCTTACTTATGTCTATTTTAACAAGAGATGCTCTAAAGAAGAGCCTCTTGTGGTTGCGTCTCAAGTACATCAATGCTTCTATGATAAAGATCCATATGATCAAGATACACATTATGTTGTGACGACTGTTACGAGAGACTTGTTTAATATGACTGATGAATTTAAATCTAATCTCCCACAAAATTATGAAAATGAGTTGTCTGAACACTTGACAGGACCATCCATACCAGAAGATGTTGGTGAAGTTCTGTACCAGAAACTATTATTGATGTGCCTTCAAAGGAATTTGATACTAAACAACATGAGGTTGAGTATGACAAGGAGTTTGAAGATGAGTCTGAAGAAGAGTTTGTACATAAGTTTGAAGAAGAGTTCAAAGACGGGTGTGTAAATGATTCTGAAGATGATTCTAAAGATGATTCAGAAGATGAATATAAAGACGATTTTGAAGATGACACACCATGAGTTTAATTATTTATGTGATGACCATATAGTGCAAACTCACTCTTTTTGTTATTTTTTAGTTATTGTACAAACACCTTAAGATGTCTATGTATTTTGTTGGCTTCGTTTATGCTCCTGATTTTTGTTTGGTCGATAATTTATGTTGGCTTCTTTAATTTATGTAACTATCGTTTTGTTGATAAACATGTAATTCTAACTTACTATTATTTTATTTGACTGTTTGTTTTCTACAACTTGTATAACTAAGGTTAATAATATTTGGAGTATTCATGTTACATTTATCAAATTGCTTTCTGATCAGTAAATGTGAACTATTGTTGTCATCTAAATACTTATATTTTCCTATTACTGTTACGCAGTGGTCATTACAGGAAGCATAGTGAAGGCAGCATGGTGAAATCAGTCCTCTGTATGCAATACTCCCTTATCTTTCTTGAAGATAATGATTGGTTCACTACTCGTTTTCATTAACACAGTGAATATAACACATTTAAATCTTTTGATGTTAGATTTCATTAGCTTTTTCTATTTAATAATCCTAGAACGTATATAATTATGAGGCTAGAACCTCTTCTTTGCAAGTTTGCTTATTCTAGTTAACAGTACCCTGATTATCGTTTTGTAGGTTAACTTACTATAGAGAAAGCAAAATAAAGATATTAAAATAAAGCAGGAATAATGAGTCAATAAACAAAAATAAAGAAAAAGGGTTTGAATCTGGACAAAGCTCAAAGACCATTGAAGAATCTGAACTTTAATATACAATAACCATCAAGTACTGAATTGGATAACAAATTGAAGACTAAGCGATAACAACTTCTAACAAATGCAATGATTAAGGTAACAAAGAGAATGCACCAATAGCTCATGAAAGAAAGAATTCTGAGGATTTATTCCACAACAAGGAAAGAGTTAATTGGTTGAGTACAAATCAATAATTCATTCATTTTCAAGGGAAGAGCTTGGTACCTCACATATGATTTTTCAGAAAGGACAAACTAAAAATAGGTTATTTAAATCTGGAGAGTCCATTCAAGAGAAAGAATTAAACTACCTATGCACAACTTTAGGTTCCAAACACCTTCCAGGAAAGGTGTTACTGATTCAATGTATGTGACTGGGGAAACACTTGGTAATGTAGATGTAAAACATTGTATTCATGATCTATTAAATTCAAACAAGTGAAGAGGAAGTCGGTCATACAGGCCATTAGTCATTATCAGTTTGTAGAAGAACAATGGGCACTGAAAGAACACGATATTACTGTTCTACCAAAGTTCAAGCAGTTAAAGACGAGTACCAACAACTAGTCTTGATAAGTTTCCAATAAAACAAGATATACACATAGGTGATGAAACGAAAACAGATAACCACACAGTAGCTGATGATCTTGTGGATCAAGATGAAATTTACGGGGATGACTGTTTTATGGACGAGAAAATTGGCATTGATTGTAGTACTGAAGGTTAGTCATAAGTGTTATAAGATTTAATATTTCTATAAAGAAATTTCTTATTTGCTTACTATTAAATAAACTAGGATATTAGAGGCGATAAAGTCTAAGAAAAAATAACACGGAAGGATATTCACGCAAGAAATTTGGAAGAAGTAAAGGAGGTGATTTGAAGGAATCCTAGATTCATCAACTTGATGTACACTACTTCGCATGCGGTGCCAACAGATACTAAATGGAGCTTGTGGGAATATATCAATGTAAGAACAATCAGTCTTCAGACTGCATATTTTTATTATTTGTTTTTATATAATGAAGTTAAATATATTTTATTTTGCATAGTCCAAATTCCTAATTTAAGTAGAAGGGAAGAAAAGGGTGATGATAGCTTTTCATGATGCTTGGAAGCGACACAAGAAAATATTAAAGTGATTTTTTGATAAAAATAGTACTGTTGAGGATATGCTATCAAAACGTCATGGTAACATTCCACAAGATAAATTCCGTCAATTTATCGATTATTGGAAAGTCCCAACTTTTCAAGTAAGGCTAAAGTAGTGCATTTAACTCTTTAACTTCTTTTGGATCATATCGTATCTATTTTTATTTTATTTATTAATTCAAATGTTTTTTATTATTAAATTATTGTCCATGTGTGAGATGAATTTTCAAAACAGGAAAAAGTAAAAAATAGAGGCATTGAATGGAACTAATTAGTTTTGCAAGAGTACGTGTGGCATTGGTAATACTTAGCATCTTCGGTCATACACTTTTATTCAATTTGCATTCCTAAACTAGATGGATTGTGGTCTCCATAACCTTTAACCCACAAAGTCTCCTTAATCAACATTTATACTTTTTAAATTTCTTTTTATATAATTTGTAGCGTGCAACCAATGAAAACAATGAGGAACCATGAAAGTCTGAAATGTTTATTGCAACTTTTACAAAGACGGGAAAGGATATTCAAAGTCGAAACTCAGGTTGCAATAATAAGTTTTTTAAAGTGTATTAATGATGAATTTAATTCGTGTTTAGAACTTTTATATTGTTAGGAGGGCTGTAATTTGATTTTAATATGCTTGAGCCACTACACAGTTTGCTTGGAAGGGATGTTATTTGATGTTAACTCAGTGAACCATAAACTCATTTAAGAAAGAAAGAAATTAGAAGTACTTGCATTTAATATGGATGTCAATTTAATTCAATAGGCTGAATTTCAGAATCGCCAAATTCTAGGAAAGCTCTAGATGATGCTTTTATGGCAGTGTTTGGAAATTAGCAGCCTCATCGAGTTTGTGATATGGTACATCAGTGACAACAAGTTCTTTAAATAAAGAAGAGGAAGATAAAAAGCTAAAATAGAAACATGCCAATGAATTCACTTCTCTATCAGAATAAATGAATGAAATGATGGAAGAAATGCGAATTATTTTTAGTCAATTGCTTCAAAACAACCTTCGATCGAATATTGGAGGTATGCCAAGGTGTGTTGGATCTAACATTTCTTCACCTATTGATGTGGGTAGTGCACAAGCTGCAAAAGGCCAAAATCCTCTACAATCTTGCGGGTCAACTCATGAACCTATTCTTCAAAAGATATTTAGTACTTTTTCAAATTAGTCCTCTCAGTTCCTCGAAAAGTCTTCTTTGTGGTAGTTGTCTTATTGATACAGTTTACTAGAAATTTTCTAACTTCATTTTTTCATCTTCAAAGTAGCTTTAGTTTTTGCATGACTGATTTGGAATATGTATTGAGAAACCTGTCAAATCGATTTCTCTATGCAAAATCCTAATATCATTGGGGTCCTTGACTCTACTGTTTGTACAGTGGGTTAAATGCTTAATTTTGTCATTTGTGTTCACCTTATGAAGATTAAGCTGCATATCGATGTTAATATTATTTCTTGATTTGTATTTTTTTTGTTAGAATTTTGTTGTAATTTATTTGATCTATTAGTCAATTTTTTAAACTTGGATTACTTCAATGTGTTTTATGAATCTTAACTTCAATGTGTACGTAATGACAAAATTATTGTTCATGATCATTGTGGTTAGCTGTAAAGATTCAAAATGGCTATATAATGTGATACCTATGTATTTAGATGATTTCATTATTTAAATTAGTGTCGGATTAATTCCTTTATTATTATGTATCTAATGTTGGTGTTTCTCTACTACTCTATTCGAGTTTGTTTTGTTTAATCTTCTCTCCTGATCCTACGCCTGGAATATCATCGAATATGTAATCTTATATTGTTTACAATGCATCCACACTTATCATTTGATTATTATTCAATGTGGTATTCAATAATCAATGACTGATGAGCCTTTAATCTATAGCAGTTGCAATTTGGAATCTACAGATTTTTTGTTTTGAAGTTTACGGAAAATCTATAAATTTTATTTATTTATTAACAGTTTGAGATTATTAATTGGAAAATAATATTGGTGTATTGTAATTTGAAATTGTGGTATATCATATTTCATAGGCAAAATAATATTTACCACACTTACAAGTGTAGCCATAGAACTGTAAATTGTGTATGCACATGGGCAAGGACTACACTACAAAGTGTTGTCATACATTAGATAGAAAAGGCAACACTTGATAATTGGGCAATATGGTATAAAAGATCACGCTTGAATGTGTAGCTGATAAGGAAGCACATTTAAACAGAGTTGCAAAGCGTGGACTTTTTTTTCTTTTAGGCTACGCTTGAGAGTGTAGCTAATAAGGCAACACTTTTAAGGGTATATTCAAAATATGTCCTTTTTCCGTTTAAGGCTACGCTTGAAAGTGTAGCTGATAACGAAAAACATTAAGCATAGCTAAAAAGTGTGGCCTTTTTTCCTTTTGTATATGCTTTTAAGCATAGTTGATAAGGCAATACTTTATATAAGTGTTGCCTAAACTCGAAGGTTACGCTTCTTTCAGCCACACCTTGAAAAGTGTGGCTTAAAGTTAAAAAAAGTGGCCTTTTACCAATGGCCACACATTTCTAGGGTGGTTGTAGACATAAAATGTTGTAGTAATTTTACCTATTAAAAATATTTTACAAGTTTTACTCTTCATACAACACCTCCAACCTTTCACACAACCTAAGGAATTCTCACTAATTAAATTGCACCAACTTACGTACGTCTTGGACGGTTCTTATCATCTTGACTCAAACACTTGCTAACTAGTTTTAATATATTAAGTTACGCTAAGAAAAACTCTTCTAAGGTGTAGTTCATCATGTGAGGATCTAGATTAGGTCTTGTAGTTTTGGGGTATTACATTGATGTTAGGAAAGACACAACAACATCTTATAAAAAAAGACTGAAAGCGAATACATGTGTCCTTCAGAATGCAAGGAGGCTTTCTACCGACTCCGAGTTCCCAATTGGATAATTGAGGTGTTGGATGATGCAGATCTTGGTTACTTGTGTCTGAATCATGATAAGATGCAGGCCAACTGGCATCAATATATTGAATGTACGAGTATGTGACATAGAATGCTAAAAACAACTTAAGCTTGAAAATGAGTAAGAAGGAACACTTACCTTGGCTCTTCTCAACTCATGATGAACTTGAGATAATATAAAGAAATAAGACACATGAAATGTATAAATCTTATAAAAAAAATATTTCCTTAAACAAATGCATATAACAAAATTACTTTACTTATATATGAAATAATATAGTTTATGTGGGAGATTCTCTAACCGACAACAACCACTATGAGCTTATGTGGTCATAGAACATCT